ATATAAAATTTTGTATATATGATCTAAGAGTAAAAAACTTTCAATCTAACGGTTGAATTTATAAAATTCACATTTAATAAAAGTTACATTGATATTATTATAACCCTTCTCTTTTAAAATATTATTTTTATAAATTAAATGTTAACATTTTAAATAAATTATTAATTAAATTAATATATTTATTCATCTTAAATCTAAGATATAAAATTAAAAAAATGTATTTATTCTTGTTTTATTTTATAATTATCAATTATTAATAAAATACTAATTTAAAATCTTATCTAATTACATCATAATATTTTCATATCAAATTTAAAACCATATATTAGTATGTTATTTTTTTATCATCAATTAATTTATAAAAATAAAAAATTTAAGATGACAATTTTTAATAATATTTATTTTAAAATATTATATTGAATTAAATAAAGTTTTAAAATATATTTTAATCATAAATATTTTTAAAATATATTTTAATCAAAAATATACTTTTTTGGTCAATACGGTGACTAAAAGTATTATGATAAATAATTGAATTAAAAAAATTAAATCTTATAATGATTTTTTTTATTGACGCTAAATTAAATATTCTAATTATTTTACAATAAATTAAAATGAAAAGATAATAAAATATGTTAATTGATGCTTCAAATAAAATGTAACCTAAGAAATTTATTTACGGGTAAAGTTATTTACGGAAATTTCCATAGATAACTTATTTATGGAAAAATCCGTAGATAAGTTACCTACGGATATTTTCGCAAATAAGTTATCTATGGATTTTTCTGTAGATAAGTTATCTACAGAAAAATCCATAGATATATTGGACCTGGGGTTGGTCAAGGCACTGCTGCATGGCAAGCTGTAGAAGGGATTGCACAACAACCAGAGGCAGAAGGGAAAATACGTGGTACTTTATTGCTTAGTCTGGCTTTTATGGAAGCTTTAACAATTTATGGGATGGTTGTAGCATTAGCGCTTTTATTTGCTAATCCTTTTGTTTAATTCTAAAAAAAAGAAAACTAAAAATAGATATACTTTTTTCCCTGGACTTGCTTTGTCGGTTTTGCTTTTTCGAATTATATTAAGATTTCACTCCTAAAATTATTTAAACGTTAGGACAAGAACACAAGGGAAGGACTAATTGAAAGGTGAAGAATTTACATACTGATTCGCCTTCTTTCTTCTCTTTTTTAGTCCAACGAACTCTTTTTTTTTTTTTTTATAAAATTTTGGAAAGTGTTAAAACTAGAGAGATTTTGCAATTGACATAAGAACTAGTATCTAATTCTAATAAGTATCATTCTTATAGGGAATCTTCCAATTAATTGACCAATTCAAATAATATAGGAGTCGTAGAAAGAAAATGAGTCTATTCATAAGAGGAGATGAGATCATATGAAAAATATAACCGATTCTTTCCTTTGTTTGGGCTATTGGCCATCCGCCGGAAGTTTCGGGTTTAATACCGATATTTTAGCAACAAATCCAATAAATCTAAGTGTAGTGTTAGGTGTATTGGTTTTTTTTGGAAAGGGAGTGTGTGCGAGTTGTTTATTTCAAAGAATAGATTGGATCCAACTAAACTGCACTTTTTCGTTATAACTAAGAAAATGTGCATAATCCCGCGAATTACTTCTGAATTTAACTAAAATTTTAAAATATATTTTAATCAAAAATATATTTTTTAGTCAATACGGTGACTAAAAGTATTATAATAAATAATTAAATTAAAAAAATTAAATCTTATAATGATTATTTTTTTAATGATGTTAAATTAAATATTTTAATTATTTTACAATAAATTAAAAAGAAAAGATAATAAAATATGTTAATTGATGTTTCAAATAAAATGTTTTACCTACGAAATTTATCTTTGGGTGAAGTTACCTACGGAAAAATCCGTAGATAACTTATCTACGGAAATTTCTGTAGATAACTAAATATTATTTATGGAAATAATTCCGTAGGTAATATTCCGTAGATAACTAAAAATTATCTACGGAAAAAATTTCGTAGATAATATTCCATAGATAACTAAACATTATCTACGAAAAAAATTCCGTAAATAATATTCCGTAAATAATAATAATTTTTCTTGTAGTGATATAAACTATTAAACTAATCTTTTCCCCACTTTCACAAGCTAATTAGAGCAATGCCATAACTTAAAGTCAAACTCTAAGCCTTGTCTCTAGGAGACTCAAACTCATCCCCCATATTTACATCTAGAATGACATTCAGCCTAACAAATAATACAAACACAAAATAAAGAAGTGAAAATGTCTCACACATGTTTGAAAACACATATAAAGAGGTTAGGTAGTTAACTAAAGCACAACAAAATATAACACAAACACATACACATTCATAACTAAAGACACTTGACACGTGAATACTTATGTTCATAATTTTAAGTGCATGTGATACCATAAGCTCTTCGCACAAGGAACACACATTTAAGGTAGCCTAGGAGTACATGAAAACACAAATTACCACACAATGAGTAAGCAACATTTCCACTCTCAACTAGGATGAAGATTCAACCAGAGGTAGTCAAGATCCCATAGTTACATATGATTAATCCTTATCCCGTGTTGATAAGTTGCTCCTTACCAAGGGTGACAAAATTTATTTATCCATCATCCATTCAATTCTCATTTGAGTTGATTGGGGACGAGATGTCGATCACAATGGTGATGGTTGAACCAATATAATTCTTTGTGCAAGTTTCTTTTACCCTTGCTTAAATTTTACTTGCTTAATCTGAATGCATGTTGATTAATTTGTATAATTGGTTAAAAACATAGCAAGTGGGGTAGTTTAGTTTAGAACTTGCATTGGTAAATTTTCAACACATCCATTCCCCTTGTTAAAATCAATTGATTCAATTGAAAATATTTTAAAATGTTTTTATCCAAGAAAAATTGAAAATAATTTTTGTAAATCCAATTCACCCCCCCCCCCTCTTGGATCAACCATCTTTTCTAACAAATTTAATGGCCTAAAGTGTTTGATATTAAAAAAGAATTATTTTGCATTTTATATTCATTGTTTCTCCCATCAACTTCAATTAGCTTTAGTTACAATAGCAAAAAATCATGTTGGGGTTGCTTTATTTTTTAACTTGATTGCTAATTTGCCTAATGTGGTTGGAGATTCATGAAAGTGACGAGATGTTCTTCAAATTGCAAAGATGAAAGAAACATTGCAAAAAAGAGAAATTTCTAATGGCGTGGCTTGAATCAAGAAACTATAATCAATAAGGCAAGAGATACTAGATAGGCCTCATATTATGGTACACTACTTAGTCTAATTTCTTTGTTCTCTTCCATGATTGATGTGCATGAAATAGTTGAGGAAGGTGACATAAGTTTAGAACCCAAAAGGTGAAACATGTGCTTTATTGAATTCTATACAAGATTTTGAATTTGTTTTCATCTAACACTTGATGAAAAACATTTTAGAGATTACTCATGAGTTATCTCAAGCATTACAAATAAGTGATCAAGATACTCTAAATGCCATAAAATTAGTTTTAGTGTTCAAACAAAGATTACAAGTTATGAAAGATGATGGTTGGTCTTCTTTGGTTAATGATGTTTCATCATTTTTTGAAAAGCATAACATTGTGATTCTAAATATGAATGATATTTTTCAAATACAAGGAAGGTCAAGGCAAAAATGATGTTTCATCATTTTTTGCATTTTACAAGGAGAAATTGATTCATTTTGCTCAATTTTATCCTGCCAAATTTTTGTTGTTGAACTTTTGGCACTAGATAACTAGGTTGAAAGTTATTTCACAAATTATGTTCTAAAAGTCCATTTTCAAAATTAAGAGGGAGATTTTTTTATATTATTAAAAATGAAAACAATTATTCAATATTTTCAAAATATAAAAACTCGTAGAGAACAATTATTATTATTATTATTATATATATATATATATATATATATAGTTGTAAAAAAATGCATATGAATATTGTCTCCACTACTTAAAATTTTTGGATTCATCACTGTCACCTACCATGAAAGCATACAATCACCTTGTTTAGCCATAATTCCTTTAGTGTAGTCGGCAATCCATAACTCCATTCCAACAACCTCACTGCACATGGCCAACACAACTATCACTTCACACGACATATCTCAATTACCAACCACACCATTATCACCGGCTACCACTACAACTTCCTAAACCCCATCACTTTCTTTCTTCCTTCCAATACTACCCTTTTGAAACCCCTCCCTTCCACTGCAACAAACTTTCCCAACATACCCCACAAGTTTCACACCCACCATAAAATCCTTCCTATCGCACAAACCACCACCCATTTTGTTTCTTCTTGGCTAACCCAATCACCCTAACATCTTCACATTAACCACACAAAACATCTTCCACAACAACCTCTTTGATCTCCCTCTTTATCATGCCTCATTATTACAACTATTGTTGTTTCGCCTCATCGTCATTGCATCGTTGGAGAATAAGTAAGGTTTAACATCATTTTTTTCTTTTTTTTGGCTATATGATAAAAGCTTTGATCCAAATTGACTAATCTAAATGAATGTCACCATATATGGATTAAGTTACAAATTGATCAATCTGGATACGTGTCATGATCCAAATACGTGTTCTAGATTGGGTAGTTTAGACAAACCATGTTTTCGGATCAATGGTCATCCAAATTACTCAAACCAAATAACAAAAGTGTATCTGAATTGGGTTTACTTGGAAGACCATCTTTCCAAATACACTTTTGCTATCTGGATTGTTGGTAATGGGTCAACGTCATTTTTCCACATGCTTTGAATGTTATCGCATCTTGTGACAATTGTTTTAGTTGAAAATTGTAGATACAACACAAACCAAAGGTGGTGCCCTACATACAAGATGTGACTTGGAGTTTAAGGTTCAAAGTTTAAAGTTTAGGCTTACATACAAATGTAATGGCTTATGTACATGTGGTGGCACAAACTTGTTCTACGATTAGCAATCCTACCTACAAGGTTAATGCAATGTGTTTTAAATCATATCCATTTCATGATGTTAAGAAATTAAATTGGAATGTGTGCCAAAAAAACACACTTTGACACATGAAATAGTGTCATAAATTTTGCTTAGCTAATAGCATTTCAACAATGATTTTTCTCTTATTATTCTGTAATCAATCATGATATAATATAAAGACCTTTGTAATTATGAGTATGAAAGTCATCAAAGAGAGTTGAATGATGAAAAGAACAAAAAGGAAAAACTAAGTACATTGCCAAAATAAAAAATAAAAAGACAATGTTGAGAAGTGAAGATGGAAATGAGATGTATTTGAACACATGAAAAAACATTATTTTGAAAATCAAACTAAATAAGTAAGTACCGATCCAACGAGGAACCAATCTAGTTGACCGGTCAATTAACTCAAGAACACCATAGCATTTTAGAACCATTGAACCTGTCAAACCAATGTAGGGAGTGTTTAACATTTGGGAGATAAGTTAAGCAACTGCACAATATCTTCATCAAAATCAATGACCCACCGAATTACGTGATTGCAAATTATTTTATTTTATTCTCCCTAGATTTTTTCCCGACAGTATTTTTCCACTTCCCTTTATTTAGTTCATCCTACCTTTAAAAGTGCATAGAAACATCCTTTTGATAAAATTTACATTTACTTTATTCTAGGATTATTTTAATTTTCCAAGGAAAACAAAATCAGAACTCAGAACTCAGTATAAAAAGAAGGGAAATTGGATGAGCTCCGGTGATGGTTAAAGACAGGTTAACCTGTAACTGATGTCAATGTCATAGACAATATAGCAAAATAGTACTTCTGTAGTTCTGCTTCTTTTCCTAGTCTTTACATTCATCACCAACTACATTCAACACCTTTTCCTTGAGTTTCTCTATTATCTGCAGAAAAGACGAAACAAAGTGTCATTATAGGAAATTGCACCGTGCAGGTGCAGATTATGTTTAGGATATGGTAAGAGTTTCATGACTCGTAAGTACCAAACTAGAATTGTTTGCCCATCCTCTGACGGAGCTGGCAGCATTTCTGAGGTGAGAACAGTTCCGGGAATCAAAATTCAAATAATAAGCAGAGTTTTCAGTAGCATCAGCAACCCAGATATGGTTTGTATGGTCCTTTTCCTTTTTTATAAGATTACAGAAACCAACCTGCATATAATGGAGATACAAGTTTCATCCAGCTCATGAATAATGCAACTTTAGACATGTTTTGCAAACTAGACAACCTAAACACGTGATGCTGACATTCTATTTGATGTAACAATTGTTTCATTGAAACCTAATCTGAAATATCTTCTACACCTATATGTTAATCTGCCAAAATATGCCCAAAATAATGAGATCACATTTTTCTGTTGAGATGAAGGTATGAAGGATCAAGCAGTAAATACTTCTGATAAAAGCTAAAATGATGTTAGTAATAACTTCAAAGTTATTTGGATTTGGTGGAAATAAATCATAATCCAGAATACATAATGGATATAATCAAAATGGCAATGATAAGATAATGCATTGTAATTACCGTAGATCCTGCAAGGTTATAGTTGATTGGTGGAAATGAATCATCATCAATCAATGGAGAGCAAAAACAGATAGCAAGCAAGGAGTTGATTAACTTTTCTGACTGTAAACCATTCATGATGGATCCATCAGTCACAAAAACCCATTGCTTCTTTTGCTGACTTGATGTATAAACCTCTCCCACATGAACAACATATGCAGTGATGTCAAACTCACTGTAAAAACAATGACAAGGAAATGTCAAATCTTTTCTTGCTAATTGCTATCCATTTTTATCTGATAACAGAAAGATAAACAGACTAGAGTGTCAAAATACTTGGAAAGAGGGATGTCACCCAAACTTGACAACAGGATAGATTTCCTACTGCTGAAAAATGGCCTACAAATAACAGAAATAAGCTGGATTCAGAATGTGATATACCCAGAATATAGCCAAGTAGAAATTCATTTTTTTCCATCTTATTCTATTTGTTAGATACCTACTTAAACTGTTCCCTTGCATTAGAAGATAAAGGCAACCACTTGGTAGAAGATCCTCTAGTATGCAAGTGAAGGATATCAAAATCAGAAGTTGATGGTACAAGTCCTGCAATGACATATGCTCCTCCCTCTACCAACTCCTGACGCTGCACATTAGTTACACAAAGAAATTGAGACAAATCTCATGATCTCCACAATAAACGTTTACAACAAACTAATGAAGTAAAGGGAAAGGAAGCGTATCATAATAAGCTTGGGATGCATTTGAAAAACATTTATAAAGCTACAACCACAGAATTATAACATAATTATGATCCCAAGGAAATACGGCTAATATTTGTAATTGGATCACCAACCTCACCTGCTTCTCGGTCGGGTTCCAGATTGTTACTATGCCTTCTTTAGGTTTGTCTTGTCGAGTTTTATAAGTTAATCCAACTACCCGTAACCTCATAAATGGTGTGACTTCTCTATGTCCCAAGCTAGCATCTTTCAAAGCCTTTTCTATTGATTTTTCCATTTCTGACTGTCTGATTGCCTGAAGATGGATATGAAATCATAAATATATTTCTACATATGGACTTCTAGTAAGATAGGGAACATAACCTTACATGTAATTTGGTCTTATATGCAGCAAAAGAACTAAGCTGCTCTGGACTCATATCTGCCATTAGGAATTCAGGTTCTTCTGCTGTCTCCAGCATGTTATAAATCTTAGCACCTTCACTATCACTGTCATGATAAATATGTGACATTTCCTTCTGATACTCCGAAATGATGCCATCTACAACAGCAGAGCGTCTGTGTCCAAATAGGTAGTCACAGCACAAAAACAAAATTCACATTAAGACTGTTAAAATTACAATTGCACCAGCATGGTAAGCACCTGATCATTTTTTCTGGCTTTCCTATTTGCACACCAGTCACAGATTATATAATATAAATTTCACAGTTCATTTTATTCTTAATTTCTTATGCACCCCATTATGAAGCTAAGCAAATTGAAATATAGTGTGGCAACAGAAATTTTATTTCTCAGAAATAGTAAGACAGTTGGGTCCCATTGACCGGAAAGTGGCACCTTCAGCCATCAAATTATACTATAATTCAGATTTATGTTTATGAATCAGAAAGAATGAGCAGTCATAACAAAATTAATGAATCCCTTTTCTCCTATTTTTATTTTTTAAGGCATGCTTGTATAATGGGTTTTCCACCACAAACTGCCAATTAACACAATGAGGCAAGTTCAGCAGTTAACTCAATTGATTACAACATAACAGAGACCTAACCCACCTGATTAAGAAACAAACAACTAACCCAAGAGATCAATTATCTTAACTGATCTCAATACAGTATTCACACCCCCCCCCCACACACACACAATACATAGTTGATAAGAATGCACGCTTCCAGGAACTCGCAACAAGATCAAACTTGAAAGCGATGCTTGAAACCACGATAGGAGCATTTGATCTTGTTGTTCCCAATCGGAATATGCAGGATTCACAGTGCCTACATCACGATCTGATTTGTTAGCAAATTCGCAACGGTATATTTGGACAAACGAGAAAATGTTGAAGTCGATGTGCCTTGATCACTAATTCTACTTGTTGACACCATAGGAGAAAGTTCTTATCATCGAGTCCCTCAGTTATCGTATGAGAAAACATAATTGGAGCAGAGGAAGGGGTTGGAGGAGGTCGATTAGCCATGCTTGGATTGATCAAGCTCTGGATACCATGTTAGAGTAGAGAAAGAGAAAGAATTGCAAATAGATTTGGGAAAATGATATTCTATTATTTTTCATGTATTTTTGTTACACCCTATGTATATATAGGGATGTTATTACAACAACAAACTAACCTAAGTGAATGTTAACTCAATTGATTACAACATAATAGAGACCTAACCCACTTGATTAAGAAACAAACAACTAACCCAAGGGATCAGTTATTTTAACTGATCTCAATACAATATTCACACCTATCCAAGCGATTTGATGTTGGCCTTATCAAACCACCCGTTATCACCATTATTAGACCACCTGCAGATGTTCAATCCTAGAAACTTCACGCTCTAATCCTTGACGTGAGAAGGTGTATTAGAGATCCCACATTAACTAGTGAGATTGTCAATTTAATGTATATAAATGGAGAGCAATCCTCACTTTACAAGCTAGTTATGTAAAATTGAGTTAGGCTCATATTCCACTTTCTTAAAAGCGATTATGGTTTTCCATCATATAACAACACAAAATTTATATATACCAACAATTCAAAAGCTCTTCTCAATAAATTGATCTTCTATTGCATTCGAGGTTTTAATTTCACATAATAGATGAAAAAGTACCAAAAAGAGGTTGTACTTTTGGCATGTGCTTCCCTTTTGTGCAATTGTGATGGGAGTCAGATTCATGGGCTTATTGTGAAATCGGAAGCATGTGATCATGGTATGGTGGTGACTATGCTTGTGAACATGTATTCTAAGTGTGGTAGTTGGGGTTTTGCTTTTGATGTATTCAGGGAAAGGGAAAGGTGGAACTTCATCACTTGTAACTCTTATGATTGCGAATTTATGGTTGATGATGTGTTTTTCAGAGGAAGAAGAGTGAAGAGGTGTTACCTCATTCAACTATCTAGAACTTCTTGATTAGTAGGTTTGCACAACAAAGGATGTGTGTAGAAACTATCAAATACTTCACGAAAATGCGATGTTGGTGTCGCTTGTGTTCAAAGATTCTCCCAAGTATTTTGTCAAAGTTTGATGATTCATCTTTGTTGCAAAGTGGGAAAGAGATACACGGGTACGTAGTGAGAACTTGTGTTGATGGGGATATTTTTTGGCAACTACTTTGGTTGACATGTATAAGAAATATGGGCATGTTTATTGGACACATGGGGTTTTTGATTAGTTTAAGGCAAAACCAGATTACCCAACATTTTGGAATGCAATGGTATGGAATGAATGAAGACTGAGTTTGCTTTTGAAACTTTGGAGAAATGTCAACTGAAATGGTCCAACAAAATAGTGTGACATTTGTTATTGTCTTATCTATTTACTCCACAATGATGCCTTCAAGGAACAATGACCAGGTTACAATTCAAAGAGCACAAAAGATAAACTTGTGGCCATTAGTCAATTTCCTTATCTCAACCTTGAGGACAAGACTATTCTTCTAGTGGCAAGTAGTTTAGTAGTTTTAGGACACTGGTTTGAGCCTAATCCCAACAATTGAAGAGGAAAGTTAGAGAAAAGTTATTGATGTGGCAATTAAGGAGTGGGGAAATGAGTGTGAGGGGAGAATATCTTTTTGTTACAAACCTTATACAATGGGTGGGGAGAGAAGTATCTCTTCTTTGAGGAGCTTTGCTTTAGGATTACAGGGTCTCTCTTGTAATATTTATTACCTTTTACTAATAATAATACAATTTCAATTTCTCTTGAATCCCAGGTTCCATTAGGATCAGCCATCAATTATTACACTATCTTCCATAGCTTGTCATCATGTTGTACTCCAAATAGTCCCACTCATAAAATTGCACAAACAAGAGATTGAATATTGAAGTTTGCAAGAATGATCATTTGTTGCTTATTCTCAATTCCTAGTTTGTACTTGATTTCAAAGTCGATTCCCGATAGTTTTGAGATCCACCTCTGCTGCTCCTCTCCTATAATTGAAAACTTGCCCTCAACATCTACTTACTACCTTTGCCTCCCCACCTAATAACCAAATTTTAGAAAATAGCTTTATAATCCCTAAGTGTGCCAACTGATCCATCCCAAAAATTAACTTCTACCTCCTAACTTCAAAATAACGCAAATTTTCTTCAAATCCCACTACTTGTACCTTTGACTTTACTTGCTTGCAAATTCCATGAATCCATACCATATCTTAGCTCCTATTCTCGCTTTAACAACATATTTGTTAAGGGTATCTTCTAACTTCATATTCAATCCCTCAACTACATAACAATGAGTTAGATGTCATCCATGTTTACAATGAGTTGATGCACCCTAGAGGGGAATGTGATAGAAGATAGAGTGGTCAACTTCACTATGAGCCAATCCAACACCACCACAAGCCTATAATTCAAATATTATCCATCAACAATAGTCACAAAATTGGTTTGTTGACTTTGGTGCTTCACATCATGTCATGGCTAATCCAAACAATCTAAGCAATGAAGTCCCTCTTTCCACTCCTGAACAAGTGTTTCTAGGAAATGGTCAAGATCTATCTATTAAATTTGTTGTTTCAATTTCTTTTCCTTCTTCCAATACTCAAACTATTACATTTTAACAATATGCTTCTTGAATTTGATCATCTATTATTAGAAATCTTGTTAGTTTGAGCAAGTTCTCTCATGATAATCATCTTTACTAAGTTTCATCCTACTTATTGTGTTGATCTAAGGCTGATCACATCCTACTTCTTGGTCATCTAAGTCCTGATGGTCATTTCCAAATTTGTTGTCAAACACATCTTCATTAAGGAATATGTCTAATGTTTTGTCTACCATTTGTAATTCCTCTACAGTTTCATCAAACGATGTAATTTCACCCACTTCCCCAACTTTGTCTTTGTGGCATAATAGACTAGGCCATCCTAACTTTCCTATTTTACAAAATGTACTTAGACTTTGATATATACCTTTTTTTTAATAAAACTGTCATTGAATTTTGTGTTGCTTGTTGTATGAGAAAGTCTCACAAACTTCCCTCTCATTCTCTAACATTGTTTACTCAAATCCTTTGTAGAGTTAATTTTCTGTGACTTCAGGGGGACCAGCAACAATGCACTCTTCCATGGGATATTCTTATTACATGTCATTTGATGATGCTTATATCATATGGATTTACTTTCTAAAAACTAAATATGAGCCACTTACAATTTTTAAAGAGTAATAGAGAGTTTTCTCTCATTTGTATTGGTCAATTTGTTGCATGTTGTAAGCTAAGTGGTTGTTGCCACATCAGCAAAGTTTGTTATTTTGTTATGTGTTCTATTACCTGATTGGCTGGTGTCACATCAGCAGTCTTTAACTCCTCATGTACTCTTTTTATAAACTATATAAACTGATCTCTTCCTTTGTTGATATCAGAAAATCAATAACGCAGAACAATATTAGTACAATCTCTTTCGATTTCATTCAGTTTCTTCAGATTCTATAGTAACCGATAAACCACCAGGCCTTTGAACTCTTACCAGACACCAGTTAAGATGAGTGTCTAATTCCTCCCACCATTGGTATTTGGTATCTATACTAGGCATGATCCTCCAATACAATCACTACTGCATCAAGCTTCTCTTCTCATATAGAATTTAACTTGAAATATCTCTCCACCCAGCCCACCCATGAATATGATTCATCTCTGTTAAACACTGAAATCTCCATTTTCCTCCCATTCGTGTCATACATTGGGTCTCAACTCTCTTCCTTCGGATTGCGAATTTGACCAGCCAATTTCTCCTATTACTCCCTGTCTTTAAACTGAATCAGAGTTCATCTCTGTCACGATTTCCCTTGTGAACAAAATTGCTCTCTTCGATGCAGCATCTACTTGAATTCATCCATGTGCATCATATTCTCAATCCTCCCCACCAGTGGACTGAGCTCCTATCTTTCCACACTGGATCCCATTGTTGCTTTCATAATCACCATTCAAGTTCCCAGGATCAAGAGCTCTAATACCAATTGATAGGTATCAAAAATAAAATGAAACAAAGAAATATGAATTCACTGTATTAATGGAAATACAGACCTGTATCAGGTTGATAGCAGGTCCTGGGTTTCTAAATCACAAAAGGAAAAGTGAAAACAAGATAAGAAGCAAAGCCTAGGCAATCAGAGAGTGCCCAGCCTCTCCCAAAAATCCACTAATTCTCAGTCTCCCTTCCCTGTCTCCTCACCACAACAAATACTCTCACACTATGCAACTTCTGCACCACTCCCCACTACTGCCTAGCTATGCAGTTTGTTACACCTTTCTCCTAATTCAGATTCCGTTTTCTTGGGCCTCCTTTCAATATTTTTGTTATTGTGTGCCTTGGGACAGCATTAGTCATTAAGATATATTCAAATCAGACAAAGAAAATGGATGACATAGATGGGTGAATTTTAAGATATTAAGTTGACACACAAGCCCAATTGATTGATTGACAATAGGCCAAAGGAGTTGAAATGGTATATGAGGAGGAAGAAAAAAGAACATTCTAGAAAAAGAGTGAATGAGTTAGTAACTGACAAGGTATTTTATGTGAGAGGAGCATTTTCTATTGGAGACTTGGGGGGTATGAGAGTATTTTCTGTCATCATGATTGGGAGTATTCTCCCTCTGAGGTGTTGCTACTGTGTTTCTTACAAATAACAAGAAAGATAGATGCATAGTCTAAGAAGTCACCTCTGATTGTACAACTCCATCATTCTATTCTCCATCCTCTCAGACATGACAACAGATCGTCCATTGCCTAACCTAATGAGTAAAACAATTATCAATACTCTTCATTGCATAATTAGAGTGTATTTCTGAAAAGCAATTTATTGTACATATTTCAAGTGAAATGTAGGACATACTTTATTAGAAGTTACCTTTCCTTGTAAAGAATGGGATATAAGCAGGTAATTCCAACCAAAGTTTGTGGTACGAGACCACCATTTCTTTTTATGCATCTAAAAGCCAAAGGAGGACCAGCAACCTTACCTGCCAAATAGCTAAAAAATATAAGCTCAAGGAACATGATGCTACTTTTTCGTAAAATTGATAACATTGACATCCAAATAATAAAATGATACTTACAAAATCCTAACCGTTCAGCCCAGTGAGCTCTATATGTTCCATTTATGTGCAGCAATAAACTAACTGTTGATGAAACCTGAAATAAGAACATAATGAGGAAACCATTTGACAGGATATATATATATATTACTCAATCATAATCCTAAACTGTAGAAAACCTCGAGGGGTGAAACGGGCCCATTCCAGCCACATAATCCTGCTCCCCAGATCTGTGTGAGGCATATGTAAACAGAATTCAACATTATCAAGGTGTTATAATCAAGGAAAATCAGATAAACAACAAATCCAGACAACACGTTACCCGAAGCTTCTGTCCCACAAACAATCTTCCAGCAGCTTGTTGCTTTGACAATGGAACATCTAAAATAGCATTCATAGAATACCTGCAATGGAAAACCATTCTGTATGTCAGGATCCTCCTATATCTTGCAATCTGACAGCATTTAAGTTTAAATTCTAACCATCCATCAGTTAGTTCAACTTTTACTGCTTCTGCTTTCTGAGCCCCATTTTCTGTCTCAAAACAAGTGCCACTTTCTGGAACATGACTAGAGTGAATGCTTGAAATGCACAGAATCATCATTGAAGAAGGCAATGCATCCCCCTCAAGAATTTTCTTGATGGTAGACCGCTGGCCATGATTCACTTCTCTTTCATATCTACACACCAAATGTCATCGTATGTTTTATCATTTTTATAGATCCAAAGCATGCTGTCATAGAGCAGTCATTTACCTGTACTTCAGTTCCTCAAGCACATTTGATACAGTCAAAAAATTTCCAGCAGGACTAGCTGGATAGTATCTCTCATAGCATGCCAATTTCCAGACAATCCACTTGTAATGATTCATGACCCACCTAGAGGGATGAGCAATGGAAGTGTGAAATTAAGAGAATTTAAACTAAGATAAAAGCATTGTTTGCGTGCAACAAGTAACACATGAAAAAACACCAAAGAGCACCATAAGTACCAAACTCGCCAAAATTATAAAATTTAACCACAAAAGAGCTTAAACTCTATAACGTATTTCCATGCAATCCAGATAACAATTGAAAATATCAAGTTACAATGACTTTAGTTTTGGACACACTTTAATATACCTAGCTAACTGACCTAACCCACTACAAATCAAAAACCACATGGCAAAGTTACTCCTTGACAGGTTCCACAGAAACCGGAAGCAAAAGTTCAGGATAGAAGCAATTTACTCTTTAGTAGCAAACTGCATGGAAGCTCCATGGTGAGTCAATAGATGGACAAAAGCTTCTGCTCCCATACCATCATCACCAGACCCTTCATGAAACACATACTTTTCTGCATTAACTGATGTCACCTGACTGGTCTGACCGGGAAAATGATAAAACAAGATTCATTTCAGTGCACAAAGTGTTGCCAGTGCCAAGATTATCAGGTCCTAGCAGAAATATACAGATTTCACTCACCACTTTCTTCTCTAATGGAGGCACAGCAAAAAATTCATTGATGTACATCCTTGGATAGTGAAATGGATATCGGCTCGAAACCTCTCTTTTGCATCCAGAAACTCCAGAGGACAATTGAGACAAATCTGAAGATCAAACACCTCAAATAGGGATTGCATCTAATAAAAATGGAGGGAATGTACCAAAGACTCTTAACTTATGCTTACCATAAGGATATGTTCCAACATCCTGCTCTGAAGTAACAGAAGTTTTGGAACAACGAGGCTTCTTAAAGGGAGAAGCAGTTACACGCAATCCTAGTCTCCGTTTTCCACTACCAGGTTGTCCATTGTTTGTTTGATCTGTGTTAATGCTATTGGAAACATCAACCAACGGCCTGCGCAACACGCTGCGAGAACCTAACTTTGAAGAAAAACCATTCAATTTAGAATCATATCCTGCTGACTTTGGTGCTTGGTTCATGTCATACAGAGGCTTCTGTCCACAAGCGTTGGTACTTTTCCGGCCATAATCACTCTCTTCCCCAACCGCATCGAATCTCGAAATCAAGTTATTCCCATCACCCTCACAAGGAAACTTAGTTGACAAGCCCCTTTGCCTAGAAGACAACAAGGGATAAGTGAAACTCTTTGTCATGCAATTGCTCACCGAATCCAGCCCACGAGCCAAAGGACTATTACACTCCCCTCTTTCACTAGTGTCAGCCATGTCCATTCGTCCCTTAAATGGAACCGAAAAGACCGAATCCCCTCCTTCAAACAAATCCCCCACATCTGGGTCACCCAGAAGACTCCGTGCACGCTGCAGCGCATTGTTGGAAATGGATATAGACCTTCCACCTGCAGTGTGGAAATTAATTGGGGCTTCATTGCCACCAGAGCAATTCGCTTCCTTTTCTTCAAAACCATTATTCAATGCATGACGAGTACCCACTGAAGGACCATCGAAAACTCTACGTAGCTTCAATTCAGATGATTGTTGTTGCTGCTGCGATTCTTTAGCATAATGAGGAATTTCGATATCACTATCAATAGTTTCTAGCAATGTCTTTGCCCTAACCAAACCGCTGGGAGATATAGTAACCTTTTTCCCCGAGCCTGTCGTGAAAAGAGAATTCGAGAAGGTGGAACCATCGTCTACGGCACGATCTTCACCTGCAAGTTGCGACTCAGTAATCAGGGTTAGTTGAAGAAAATTAAGAAATTAAAAAGAAAAATTGGAATTGAGATGAAAAATTGGAACCTTGGAGAAGAAGATGGGCCATGGAAGGGAGGGGAATGGGAGGGGGCAAAGGTGAAGAAGCATTGGAAGCGTTCTCTTCTTTGGTGAGTTGCCAGTGGAAATTGTTTGGAGAGTGAGAGAGTATTTGCCATGTACACATATTGTAGCATTTGAGGGAAAGGGGAAACGCTGAAACACATTAGGGATTTTCACGAGTGCTCTCGCTTCTATTTATGGCGGGAAAGGTTTCAATTCTCAGCTGAAGGATAGAGGGAACTAGAATCGGATCGCACTTCGCACGCCGCTGTTTGTTTAAAAAATAAATTAAAAAAAAAAAAAAACAATTTGATGAGTATTTTATTTACCCATTTTTGAAATTTGAAATTTTATACGAAAAAGATTTATATCTCTATATAATTAAATCTTATAAGAAATTATATTTTAATATAAGTTGAATTATCATTAATATATATATATATTAATAACTAAAATCTAAAATAAATTGTGTATATATAAATATTATTTTTTAATATATAAATTATATTTTAAATTATTGTAGCGCAATATTATTTTTATTTATTAATAATTTATTTTAAATAAATTAAATTTAATTAATAAAAATAATTATAATAAATAAAAAATTGAATTAGATATAAAATGAAAAGAATTCCTAAAAAATCTCTTATTAAAAAAAGTTCATAAAAATATTTCAATGTAAGATAAAAGTTGGTATTTTATAGAAATTGATATAAATTATATTTTAATTTTAAAATTAGTTATTTCAATTGAGATATGAAATTATTTTTAATCTTCAATAATTTTCTACAAAAGTTACTAAACATTAATTTAGAGTTAACCATAAAATATCATAGATTAAAAGATGCTTCAATGAAATAGTTGAAAAAATTAGCTGAATATATAATAGTGAGTGAAATTTATCTATAATCTAAATTTGATTGTTATCATTGTAATTTTTTTATGATAACAAAAAAATATACATTTATAAAAAAGAGAAAATCAAAACATTTAATTGTTGAAATGCAAAAAAGTGAAAAATATAACTCTCTTATTTATATATTATAATATAATAATATAATTTATTAGCAAAAATACCAACAATGACATTTCTATCCACATTTTTATTGGGTCAACGTGTCTATTATGTTAATGAATTTTAATTGTGTCACGTCTCAGATATAGTCTGAGATGGTCATGCGGAGAGGTCTTGGTTGAGAGGGTTGATTAAGAGGTTTTTGATCGAATAATGCAACTTAACCTCTACATCTTTTATGCTCTAGGTTGTTGGGCTTGTATACCCTCCTGACTTTTTGCCAAGAGGTTTTGGGCCAAATAATACAACTTAGTCTCTACATCTTTCATGCTCAAGGTTGGTGGACTAGTGTACCCTCCTGACTTTTTGTTGAGAGGCCTTGGTTGAGAGGGTTGGTTGAGTATTTTGCCAATTGTATCCCTAATAGGTTGAGTAATCCAATCCCCTAAGGCATATGGGTAAAAATCTGATCTGAAACCCATATTTAGAGCAAAATCTTATATTTATTAGTTAAGATCGTGCATTGATAAGTAATTACCTCATTAAATCCCAAGATTCTCGAGGCCCATAAATCCATGATAGTCAAGTATAAAAATTATAACCCTAGAGCAAGGATATATAGAGTACACTTTCTTGAATGCTGTAGAATTTATCCAAATTACCAAATATACAAATAGAAAACATTATAAAATTAGATATACCACATTTATAAATCAATATTAAACCTGATTGAATCATCAATTTCACAAAACAACATACCAATTGACAAAATCTCAATCCTTCATGAACCCTAACTCACAAGCACATTTCAATTAATTCAATCTCTCTCTCAGAACATTGATTTTTAACATCTAATATCAGAAATACAATCACCAATACGAGTAGAATTTATCCAAATTACCAAATATACAAATAGAAAACATTATAAAATTACTAAAAATCCTAGGAAACTCTCACCCTCTACCCATTCCCTCATGTGACTTCACATACGAAAATCCCTTTTTCCTGTACTTGGTTACATTAATCCAAATAATCCAGATTCCAAATGAGATTGTTCCTGAGCACTCTTCCTCATAACTCTCTATTTCTCCTTTCTTTCTCCTCTAATCCTTTGGAACGCAAAATGAGGCAGATAGGGTTAACTCTGTTTGTCCCTTTCTTAAAATTAATCCACTAGGCTAGGTCAACTCAACCCATTTTCCTTCTCTTCCCGACCCATTTCTCTTTTGCCCAAAATAATTAAATAAATATATAATAGGAAATACTTTTTTCCCAATAATAATAACAGCATATTTTTGACCCAAAATATAATAATATAGTTTCAATATCAAAATTGTGACACCCTCTACCGCAAAATACATAGACAATAATTATGAAAACATATTCTTGGAGTAAATAAATCTTTTGATTAAAATCATGGTTCCACTAACATGAGAATAGAGAATTCACATTCGTAAACATAATCATAATTCACTTGCGGAAATTACAGAAGAAATAAAGTTGAAGGTTTTCCAAAACAAAAGAAAGAAACTAAATTCCCAAACTAAGCCTAACTATGCCCCGATGTCACATATCTTATCAGAGCACTCCCAACTGAAGCCTAAGCCTCATCACCAACATCCTCATGCTAGTGATCACTTGTAACACAATTTAAAAACATACAATAACAAGGGAATGAGAAAAATCTCACTCAAGTTTAGGTGCAGAAATAAGGTTAGATAATACACACAACAAACATAAGTCACAAGCACAAATCACATGTAAACAATACACATACACAATCAATATCACATGCATACTCATTTATCATGCTATGATGTCATGGACTCAACTCATAAATGCATGCATGTGGTGCCATACGAAAGTTTCACATTTCTCATCACCAGCAGCATACCCGGGGGCATGTTCATTCATAAATACATCACTGGTGACCAAAGGTACACTTAGAATAGCTCAATACATCACTGGTATGCGACCTAAGCAGTACACCTCAAATAGATCATTTCATCACTGGTGACCCAAGGTACACCTGAAATAGCTTGTTACATCACTGGTATGCGGCCTAAGCAGCACACTTGGAATAGATCATTTCATCACTGGTGACCCAAGGTACACCTGGAATAGCTTGTTATATCACTGGTATGCGGCCTAAGCGGCACACTTGGAATAGCTTGTTACATCACTGGTATGCGGCCTAAGTGGCACACCTAGAGTCATATATGCACATGATGCATGTCACACATTCACTATTTTATTGACTCAACATTTCACTTATCACGTCTTATGATATCTCATGTCACATTATTTCATAATATCATATCACAGGTCATATGTTCACCTTTCACATTCTCACGTCATATTCACATAGTCTCTTTCAAGGAACTTCTCATAGTCTTATACACCAAAATAGTACATAAATCATACCAAGAAATTATCAAAAACATGAAGCCATCATCAATTTTACATATAATGCCTCAAAATCATCCAAAGATCATATTCCTAATTTTACTTCATAGGGTTTCCCATGAGAACCCACAGAGCACTCTAATTCATATCAAAACTTGTCTAATTTTGAAATTAAACACATATTTACGCTCAACATCACACAAGGAATGCAATAGAACATTCAGAAAATAAAACAGAAAACATTGATATTACCACATTTATAAATCAATATTAAACCTGATTGAATCATCAATTTCACAAAACAACATACTAATTGACAAAATCTCAATCCTTCATGAACCCTAACTCACAAGCACATTTCAATTAATTCAATCTCTCTCTCAGAACATTGATTTTTAACATCTAATATTAGAAATACAATCACCAATACGAGTAGAATTTATCCAAATTACCAAATATACAAATAGAAAACATTATAAAATTAGATATACCACATTTATAAATCAATATTAAACCTGATTGAATCATCAATTTCACAAAACAACATACCAATTGACAAAATCTCAATCCTTCATGAACCCTAACTCACAATCACATTTCAATTAATTCAATCTCTCTCTCCTATGTCTTCTCATATGTCTTGATGTTATCCTCTAAAAAATTGCTTAAAATGTTGTCTTCTTGTTGAGTGGTTAATTGTTGGTTCATGAGCCTTCCTTTGTTGTGTACATACCAATTGACAAAATCTCAATCCTTCATGAACCCTAACTCACAATCACATTTCAATTAATTCAATCTCTCTCTCAGAACATTGATTTTTAACATCTAATATCAGAAATACAATCACCAATACGAGTAGAATTTATCCAAATTACCAAATATACAAATAGAAAACATTATAAAATTACTAAAAATCCTAGGAAACTCTCACCCTCTACCCATTCCCTCATGTGACTTCACATACGAAAATCCCTTTTTCCTGTACTTGGTTACATTAATCCAAATAATCCAGATTCCAAATGAGATTGTTCCTGAGCACTCTTCCTCATAACTCTCTATTTCTCCTTTCTTTCTCCTCTAATCCTTTGGAACGCAAAATGAGGCAGATAGGGTTAACTCTGTTTGTCCCTTTCTTAAAATTAATCCACTAGGCTAGGTCAACTCAACCCATTTTCCTTCTCTTCCCGACCCATTTCTCTTTTGCCCAAAATAATTAAATAAATATATAATAGGAAATACTTTTTTCCCAATAATAATAACAGCATATTTTTGACCCAAAATATAATAATATAGTTTCAATATCAAAATTGTGACACCCTCTACCGCAAAATACATAGACAATAATTATGAAAACATATTCTTGGAGTAAATAAATCTTTTGATTAAAATCATGGTTCCACTAACATGAGAATAGAGAATTCACATTCGTAAACATAATCATAATTCACTTGCGGAAATTACAGAAGAAATAAAGTTGAAGGTTTTCCAAAACAAAAGAAAGAAACTAAATTCCCAAACTAAGCCTAACTATGCCCCGATGGTTATGTGTAGAAGGTGAGTTGCTTGTAGACCAACAAATGTTAGTGAACTTTACCATTGGGAAATATAAAGATCTTGTGTTGTGTGATGTAGCTCCCATAGAAGCATGTCATATTTTGCTAGGTACATCTTGACAAGTTGAAAGAAATGTGAAACACCATGAAAAAGATAATATTTTTCTTGTATATGAAGGTCATAAGATAAAACTTGCTCTACTTTCACCAAAGGAAACA